ACTGATGCACAGACTTTCCGTATATCAAGGAATGATGCAAAAACCCTAACCCTAACCCTAACCCTAACCCTAACCCTAACCCTAAGTCATAAAGTATAACCTTAGGTATCACGAAGTGTGTTAAGATTAGGGTTAGGGTTATGGGTTAGGGTTAGGGTTAGGGTTTTTGCATCATTCTTTGATATACGGAAAGTCTGTGCATCAGTTGATGATACACAGAAATCTGTGCATCACGTCGTGATACCTAAGGTGCCTAAAGTGGATTTGCACCCTATGTAATATGCCGGACCGTACCTCGCCTACTCCACTAACGAGTCTAGGGAGTCGCCTACTCCCTAACCCTAGCTCTAGAACTATAGCCCTCCGCTCCGCCGCAGGCCTATAGAACATACTATGGCCATTTTGGTTCAAGGATAGAGATGATGTCCAGATTGAGACCTATGTCATTTTCATAAATGTAGGGGTAGGCCCTTTAAAATCGACAGGGGTGTTCTTGAAGGTGTTGTTTGTTCATTTCCACCGAGAAACATGTCACTTTACAGGAAGTGTGGAAAAACTGCGTTTAAGCGACACTACTCGCCTGTTTCCGACTGTTTCTCACCATTGCTACGCGCGATAATTTCCCGTGATATTCCTGTGCTACGGCCCTGAAATTTATGTGCGTATTTGCGCGTGGCATTTACGCACTGATACTACATGCTCTCCGCAGTAAATTACCTGGAAATCCGTTGATATTCGTCGCTTTTTCGGAAAGTGATCAATGAAATAACAAACAGTTAGCCATTGCTGTTCACTGTTGCCTACTGCCCTCTCGCGGCCATGTGGTGATGTATGTGAATTTGCCCCGCACTCTGCTCGCTCGCCGTTGCTGCGCACATCTGTGTCGCTGGGCGCGCGTAAGGGGTAGACTGTTACTCGCTTCCACCTCCAGTACTCATCCACTGACTAAGCCGAGAGGGGCGACCAGGTACCAGTCTAGCGTCAGGGGGGTGCATACAGTGGTCATAGCCAGCGCCGTATAGACAAGCAAGATATGATAAAACCAAGATAAAGCCCACGTGAATTCTTCCAGTTGTCTGTGTGTCGCTGGGCGCGCCTTCCTAGGTTAGGGTTCGGATTAGGGTTAGGGCTAGCCGGTTAGGGTTTGAGTTAGGGTTAGGATTAGGGTTACGGTTAGGATTAGGGTTCGGGTTAGGGTCAGGGTATTAGGCAGGAATATTTTTAATTCTTTTACATTTTTAACTTGTTTACATTTGTAAATTTGAAACTTTTCCCATTTCTTTGGCCGTGCAGTTTCAAAACAAACCGTCCAAATCACGGCTGCACGGCTCGCTGGCTAATACGCATACACACACGACAGACACACTCACACAGTCTTGCACATACAAACAGATATGCACACACATGCACGCACGCACGCACACACACACATACATACATACGCAGACATATAGACACCTAATTTATGTATTCCACCAATCCCCCCTCGCGCTGCTGTTGGCTGGACGATCTGCAGCCGGATATCCGCGCGAAGCGCTCAAACGCCGCCCTAGCGGCGCACTTTTGCAACTTCGCTGCCCTCTTCCCAACCCCATTACTCCGGTCCTTCCTAGGTATAGCTTGAAGCCGGCTTTTCGCTGAATTGAGCAGTTCTGCCCATTGCACGAGGGATCGCACTACCCAGTTAGGTAGAGACTGGCTAGAAATGCTCCCAATTCTTTGTTCGCTACTAGGCGCGCTTTCTTTGCTGTAATAACGGAGTTTTTTGTTGACATTGTAACATATAGCGCTCATGCGTAGCCGTTGACTGGCTGAGTTTCGAGGATCCGATATTAGGAACAATACAAATGTCTTCGCTATTCGTAATAAATCCAGTTTTACAGTTAGTTTCATTGTCACTCTTATCTGCTATTGTATCTCTGCATAGTTATCCTCATGACAAAACAAAGATTTCAACATG